TTAATGAGGGGGGGAAATAACGCTGAGAGTATTATAACTTCACATATTTGGAATTTTCATTTGATTTGTGGTTTCGTTTTTCTTTTGGTTTCGCTTTTGCTTTTGCTTCAATGAGCAATTTGTGGTGCGTTTCATTAGGCGTGAACTGCGCGGCGTCACGCCCATCCTTAAGCAGTTAATATGGGGTTTTGTCAGCGTATCAAGAAGAAGCAGCAGAAGCGGCCGCAAGAGAAGAAGCAACAAGTATGCCTATAATATTCAATAATTATAGCCTTTGTGCAGCGAAAAATGTGAGTTTTGGGAATTTCTCTACTTTTTTACAGAGTTCATTATTTGAACTTTGTCTTTATAGAGATAATTATAGAAAATAAATAGAAGAATTTTTCATATTTTATGATTAACATATCTCATTAATTTATATTGTAAATATTTATTATAATGTTAAAAAATCCTAAAAGTCATATAATAATATTAATATCGTAGTATTTAAGATTATTAAACTTTATATAAAATATATAGGGCAGCTACTGGACAAAGTTCTTACAGTTTCTATATCTTCAGTCCGAGACAAATTATATAATTCGTATCAAAAATTGACGTAATAGAGAATGAAATTCACTGGTTCTACGGCACTATGCAATAACGAATCTAATATAACTTCAAAGATTATGATTTTTTTTTTTTTGGCTTTGAGCCGTAGACCAGTTGGAAGACAAAGTGATAAAAAACTACTATGCAACGGCTGCCAAATTTTTTGTCAGTGCCGTTTCAGCATCCGCCGAATGGAGTCATAATTCTAAGCATTACAACAGCAGCAGCAAATGCCAACAGCAACAACAACGTCGCTGGCCAGGCGACTGCAGAAGCTTTTCTTTTTTTGTAAGCTCGGCTCGTATGTTTCTTCTCTTTCTTTGTCGTTCTGTTGAGCAGCGGAAATTATTATTAATTGCTTGGAATGTGAGGCCCACAAGCTGCCTGCCCCACCCCCCCGTCAATCGAGCACCAGGTGCTCAAGTCCATTCTAATGGCTTCCGTTGGCGTGGCAGCTTCTGTTATGTTTGTCTAATCATTTCTGATGACGTCAAAAGCGGTTTATTCATGGCCAAAACGTGGCGAGTTCTTGGCCTCAAAAACAAAACTCAAACACCGAACGTATGTGTATAATGTATGCAAGGCGTGGATATTGCGTGGATTCTGTAGATTAATGTGGAGCAACTCTTTAGTTCAATGGCCTTGGCCACGCTGAGGAAGACATTTGACAGGCCAGGCGGGCCCCAAAGCTCCCAATCGCCCAGCAGACAGCGTGGGTAAGAATTGTAGCCATACGGCAAAGAAAGAAAAACGTGGCCAAGCGTGGCCAAACATAATGGCTAGCCGCCACACAGCTCCACTCCACTCCAACCCAATGCAATTGCAATTGCAGTTTGTAGTTTGTTGGGAGCCAGGGGAAATTTAGTCGAACGGCAACTGCAGCACTCCAGCGTTTCATATGACTGACTGACTGCTAGCCAGGCGGAAGCAGCAGTTGCAGCTAGAGTTGAAAGTGGAACTGGAGTGGGAGTGGGATTGGGAGTGGAATTGGAGCTGCAACAGACTGCGGCAGCCACAGTTCAAGTCAAGGTGCAGCCGTTGAAACGTACCAGCTGTTTGCACTCCTCCTCCTACTCATCCACCTCATCCTCCTCCTCCTAAAGTCTCTTTAAGATTTACAATCGGAAGGCGGAGCTTCGAGAAGCTGTTGCTCTTGTATTACCCAATGCGCAAGGGGTGAACGGACTGGCATTTGCGTAATTGTGTTTGAATGCCGGAACGAACCTTTCTTTATGTGCCACCATTCAAATCGTAATGCAACAACATTTGCAACAAATTGATTGGAATTGGCAAATCAAAGTGGCTTAAATAGCGTGACCAAATAATGGAACTAAATTGTTGCTAGCATTAATCATAATGGCATTATATTTGCTATTTATATTTGCATTCCTAAATAATGCATTTATCACTTTCATATGATTGTTGTATGTTTTAATATTTTAAAAACTATTTGTTATTATTATACAAATTAGACAGTTTTATGAAGGTAATTTGCCTAATATTCACATATCAGTAAATATTATATAGATGTATAGTAATATTACATGTAACTATATATTTTCCACAACTTTCTTTCAGTTTTCCTTCCTTTCACCTCTCCTCACTCTTTTTTCTGTTTCTTTCATTATGAATCACTCAAACTTCTAGTATTACATATGTACATATCTCATATACGCATATGTTTATTTCCCATACACATCATATAAATGCTTATTTATTTCCCATTCTTTTGTTATATGATATATTTAGAGACATTATCTGAACTACATACATATTTCAATGAACACGTTATTCCCAATTTGAAAACAAAAACACATAAATACATTACAGTTGGCTGCAACTGCGTGCCAAACAAATAAATTTAGACATTGTTTTTCTTCTTAGCTCCCACGCTTCAAGAGGCGTCTCCATAAAGTATAAATATAAAAGCAGCCCCCTTGCCGAATTTTTGGGGCCACCTTTAAAACAGCTCAAGCTGCACAAAATTCGCAAAAATATAACAAATATAACAGCATTAATACTCTCTGGTAAAATGTTAATATATTAAAAAGTATTCAATTTTATCCAAAGAGGTTGAGCTATGTACATTATAGAAAAAACAATATGCTCTCTCTCCCTCTCTTTTTTTCTTGCTCTCTCTCTCTCTCTCTCTTTCTCTGTCTCCTATCTTAAAACAGTTTACTCACACGTCTGGAAGATATCTAGCTATTGTTTATATAAACAATTAATCATATTGTGGGAGTAGTTTATTTGACCAAAAATGTTGTTTATTCTTGTTAAATGCAAATTCAACAAAAAGCAAAATGTTGTTATGGATCCAATTACTATATATATAAGGCACAGCTGGCATAATAAATAACATACATATAATAAACAACAAGTTAGAAATGAAAAATCGAGAATGCTCGACTTAGATATACCCTGGCTAATGTAAAGAACTGATAATGCAAAGAGTCTACGCGTCTATTATATATATTTACAGAGATATATGTACATACATATGTATATATGGACCAGAGTTCTATTATATATATATATATATATATATATATATACAGAGATATATGTATATGTATATGGAACAGACTAGCTCGACAGAATTCGACGGCCTTATTTATAAGTTATTTACTATATATGTCTATATAACTTATTCTTAATATAAACTTATGTTTATATTCCCATAATATTCTAAGTTCTCAATATCTTTCTTTGTCTCAGCACATTTTTAGGCTATTGCATATCTATATATTACTTATACCTAACATTACATTAATCTATATCTATATAGATTTATTATCATGTAAAACCCACGTAATGTCTTTTGGCCACTCGAGTTGCTCAAGTTAGGAGCTAAATTTTGCACCTCTTCAGCTATTATATTCACTGAGTGCAATATGAAGTCTGTTTAGAACTTTCGACCTTATCGATCATGTTGGCTCGAGTATCTTAACTTATGCTGCGTTTATCTGCGATTTGTTTGTTTGTCTGTTTGCTGTTGCTGTTGTTGTTGTTGTTGTTGTTGTTGTTGTTGTTGTTGCTTTGCACAATGTTTGTTTATTTTGACACGTTCGTTGCGTTGGCGACTTTTATAAATTGCTTGATTTATTGTTTCTCTTGTATTTCCGTATTTTGATGCCCAGCGTCGCATCGGCTCGGCTTGCCCCCATTTATGATGTTGTCTATGTACATTTAGGGAGTATTTTTAGGCACTTGGCTGCTGCTGCTGCCGCTGATCTGTTTGTAATTTGTTTATGGCAACTGTTGGCTCGATTAGACGCGCGCGTTGACAGCCTCACAGCTGATGAACTCTTTTTGAAGCGGCGGCGGCGGCAGCAACAAGCAGACGACAAGCAACATGTGTGGCGGCAACAGCTATTTGTATTATTATATATAAATATATATGTCTACATATATTTCTTCTTTTTTTTTTTGTTTGTTTATGCCGCGTGGCAAGACACACAGCATGCGGCGACAACACCAACAACAACAACAACAGCAGCAGCAACTGGAAAACTGTCTGCTCTAATGATTTTGACCCTGAACGAATTTGAAGTGGTTGCGGCTGCAACGTCTGCCACTGCCACTGCCACTACCACTGCTCTCCACTATAAACATGTCAGTTCCCCAGTCTGGACCGCAACGAAAGCATTCACAAATCTCAACTATTTTTAAACACTCTACAAATGAAACTAGGTAAAACGACCGTCGAGTAAATAAAAAATACAGTAAACATCAATAATAATATATGTAGTCGACCAATATAGCATCAGCATTGCGAGGCAAGCATAAACCTG